ATACTGTACGTTGATGTCTTATTTTGGTAATACAATTCCCCACTGTATACATTAAAGTATTTCTAAACAAAATCTGATTACTGAAATTTTTGTATAAAAAATCTTTTCTATTTTTTTTTTTGCATCTGAGTTTTTTGTTGAGTGGCTTAATTTCTCTTCTTAAAATTCCAAACTTTTTTGGAGTCGTGCTCTGTATTTGTTTTTCCCCTTATATCCCTTTAAACTGTAACGATGTTATAGCGAAATTTATTTACATATTAAACGCAAACATTATTTTGGAATTTTAAAGGCTTTAATGTTATTCTAATGGCGCCTTAATGTGTGCCTTTTACTTTAATATGCAAATAAGCATCGCGTTTGCTCCTTCCAGGACATGCAACTGAAACGGAAGTGTTTTGTTCAAAATTATTATCGTTATGCCGATAACGCTTATGTTTAATTTTAGGTTATATGATGTTTAAGTAGGAGAGGACTTTTGGGCACGTGCAAGAAAATTTAAAATAAGTTAAGCAAAACTCCTAGTCTATGAAAGTGACATGCGAAAATTGTTATTACTGGTTCTAACAATCATTTTAAATAAATTGTTAATAAACTTAACAAGCAGGACGAAATGAGGAATGGATTTCAATCAATTGACTTTAAATTTGTATTAATTAATATATGTTGCAGTGACATCTAAATAAATAAATATATAGAAAAGCTCATCTTTTTGTTGATATACTTTAATAAAGATTGATTCGAAGCTGCGAACCTGCGAACCTGCGATTGAGAATTGTGGCAGTTGCCTGTAGACTATTGTGAATTCTCATGCTCCATAGTTCGAATATAGCAACATTACGAGATGTACTTTTTGCTATTGTGAATGGTCGGTTCCGTCAAATTGTGGCAGTTGCCTCTAGGCTATTGTAGATTCTCATGCTCAGTAGCTCGAACACAACAACGTTACGAAATGTGCTTTTAGCTATTGTGAATGGTGGGTCTACTGCTACATTACTATTACACTTAACTTGACAAATAAGTAGCCATTAACTCTAATTTTTATACAAAATCCATATAAAGTCCTTGTAAAATAATGCAAACAAAATTTAAAGATTATTTAAAGTCTAAAGTCTAAGTATATACATGGAATAACATAGCACGTGGAAAGGTGTTTGTATTCCCATTCCCAGGAGTGGTATGAATGCAACAATATGATAAAACGTCCTTTTGGTTATTGTGAATGCCGAGTTTCGTCTAGTTGTGCTAACACAGCACGATGAAGACAGCTTGAACTGCTATGCTCAAGAAGGTGTACACAGTAACATTGGACTAACGTACATATGGTTATTGTGAATGGCGAATACTATTGGCGAGTTATTGTGCATTCAACACTAGAAAGGGAATTAGTTATACCTGTAACATCCTTGCAAGCAGTACCAGAATTTTAACTGAATAATAGTATTTCAATATCAACTTATACATATATAGACTCAAATTTAGAAATCCCTTGCTGGAATCTCATTATTCAACTTAATTACTTGATACTGCTACTAGTAAGCAAAAATAATGTCGTTCTTTGGTGAACTCCAAGATAATCTATATGCAGTGAAGCAGCCATTAAATTCTATGAATGAAATCCACATAAAAATCAGTCAATCCACAACAGTTGGTAAGAAATTAGGCGTTCATTCTCAGTTTCATAGAGCTAAGGCTTTTAGTAGGTTATCTGATTGATCACCATAACCTGCGTTACCATCTCAATGCGATGTTACTATCTGTGGAAAAAATGTTCGCTATGTGTATAAGCAGATGAGATGCCTAGTCATATATATGGTGACTATCATTTTTAATTTTGATCTGGAAGAAAATATTGGAATGCTACTTTTTACCACTATTTAATATTAATTGAACATATTATGGGTAATATTTTAGTCATAATTTGTAGCGCTACTGTTCGGTTAAGTTTAATCAAAACAACTACATGATGTATGTCCTACGTGTTATTGAGAGCTATTAATTTCTTTTGCATTTCATATTATGTTTAAACAAAATTAATGAATATTTTGACGATAAATTTAATTTGTAGGTTATGTAAGCTAAGGTCTTGAGTAAGAATATTTTGACCTTGAGATTTAATCAAATTATTTAAAATAAAAACTTAATATAAATATCAATAAATAAATATATTTCTTTTCACATATCCTTCAAAATATATGTTCTCTAATATATTTTTCTGTTTTTTTTCTAGGTGAGTTGAATATTTTAATACGAAAATATAATAAAATATATGCAAATAAAAGGTGAGTTCTATAATTTTATTATTCCTTGTATTTCCTTCTGCAATTATATTAAAAAAATTCAAGTTCTATAAGCTTATAGCTACAGATTTTGTACAAATATATTACAAACTGCCTAAAAGCTAAATACCCCCTTTGCAATTACCCCACTTACTATGTGTAAATTTATTATGCCAAAAATACCACTTCATAAATCTACACTTCATTGCATCTGGTCCTTCAATGACCATAGCTACAATCTCACTGAATTGATAATAATTGGATTAGCGCATTATTTTCAGTACGATTGGAGTGAAATAGCAAATCCTCAACACATAATCATATACGGCCAGCCCTAAGGCTTGTCATATTGCTATGCAAAAAAAAAAAGAAATATGAAAATGTATAAAAATAATTTGCGAGAAATGTACCCCTTATTCGCATAAGAGTTAACAGTAATGTTATGGATACAAGTACGAGTATAAAATATAGCAAGGATATGGTTATATGGTACTGTCTGTTGTCCACAAGCGACTAAAGCTGCACCCAGCCCACAATAAGTGCTTGGCTTGAATAGAGCCGTGCGTGGATGGATGGTTACATGGTTGAACCAAATGCGCAACGAAGCGTTATTGTTACATCCTGTCAATTCGTACCCATGTACACCCGCACACCCGCACTCCCGCACAACCAACAAACAAGAACCATAAAAATTAAATTTTGCCATAAACGCTTGATTCAAGTCAGCAGCATAAAAACACTAAATATGCTAAGAATTCTAAAAAAAGATTTTAAAACGTTTACATATAGTAATTTTTTATATTTTTATTTTTTTAACTAAAATTTAAATAAAATGTTACACTTCCCCCGCCTTTCTGTATTCAATTTAAATCAAGCGCAAGTTTTTTGTGTGGCGTGCAAATTTTTAACAAATTGAGACCAAATGTTTTCTGCTGTAAATTTTCTCACTTGACTCTTTTCTTTTTATTTATTTTTGGAATTGTATTTCTAATATAAACATGCATGCAATTTTTAATAAAAACTTTTTTTTTTAAAAACATGGCATTATTACAATATTTGAAAAATTACGCTCGCGGGTGAAAACGCCATTGTGCGCCTTCAGTTATGCAATGAAAATATTCTCCCCCGAATATGTCGTAATGAAAATTTATGGGTTTACTCACGTGTGGCCAAAGCTGTCAACTTCAATATTCCTAAAGTAACAATTCATTTGATTTGGAATGGTGCTAAGTGTAAGCTTTGCACTCTTTTTGTGGATGTCAGTTTTACTGGCGGTACTGGAGACATCACTTTGTCTGCCTTCCTAATAAGAATATTTAGATAAAATCTATTATTGGACGTATTAAAGTAAACACATGCAAAGAAATGCTATAAAAGATTATGTCAAAAAGTGTAAAAATATTTTATTACCTAAATTATATTAATTATTATAATTAGTAATGGTTTTTATATATTTTTTAATCCGGCTATAGGTCACTTTTTGTTAAAGAATTCAACGTTTATTTTTTTTTATTATATTCTACATATTTCGACTCAACGATATGTGGGCAACCGTATCAAATTTGGGCTTGTTCCATTAAGAAAACAAATCTAGCACATTCAATGATATGTTCCGTAGAGATATCAGTATTACGGTGAGTTCACTTACGGATCACAACCGATTATGGTTCCATACAGAAAGAATAAATCTCCCTTTCAATTATTCCTGTTGCAGTTGGGTATGGGACAATGAAAGTATCTCCCATCTGCTTTGTTTTTGCTTAGCGTATGCCAGGTGCCACTTTAATATTGTAGGGGCGTCCCTTTTCGATTATTTTGGCCAACTGCAAGACTTTCCATTAAGAAGCATTTAAAGCTTAGGTAAAGGTTCAAGATGGTTTAAGTTTTCTCTTATACGGTAACATAATAAGTCAATAGGCCTAGGTAGATCTTTTGGTGCGACATTAGAACCTTGGTAGGTTATAGCTACATTAATATTCGAAAAAAACGCGGCTAGTATTGAATTGTAATATTTCTAGCATAGTACTGTAGTTATCTAGATTTTTAAGCAATTATTTTTGTGAATTTACGAGTTAATTTAAGCTCCATGCCTAAGACAGAGCCACCAAGCATTTTTTTATTGCACTTTAAGCATTTTTTGACCAAACTTTAGTGAAATATAAACACAAATCTTAGATAGGGTTAGGACTGTTGCAGAATAGGTTAAATATTTAAAAATTTATTAATGACCAGTTGAAAGTATATTTCGGAATATTCCAGTTTTTAAGTGGAATATATTTCTGGCCAGTCATCCATCTCGCTCTAAAACAATTGTAAATTCAGCTTCAGTATATTCTCAAATATAATATGTATTTCTGGTTCAAACTATATAAGCCATTGCTATTTAATTATAAATAAATAAATATAAATAAATAGCAGTGGCTTATATAGTACTAATTGAACAATAAATTATATTACCCTAAATAATTTTAATCTGACAAAAAAAAATTAAGTGCCATTACTTTTAGTTATTTAACCAAAAGGCAATATGTAACATAGTTTACTGCAAATAAAACACAAGACATTCAAACACAGAAGATATATTTTTGAAACTCAAAATTTTTGTAAAAAATATATAACTATTGTGTGTAGTGCCATAATATACAATAAACGGAGTTTTTTTTAGGAACTGAAAAGATTTGAATTATCGCTAGTGGACATGAAAGTGATGCAGGTATTAAAACAGACCAAATCTTAAGTTTACTCAAGTATCCAACAAGATCCAACTTTAAAAGTTTAATGTTAATGAGTTTCTTTGTCTTAACTCTCAGATCAAGAAGGTATAGCAAATGATCAGTCTTGGTACTGGCGCATCTATTACAATAATTACATCACACTGGTATTATCTACTCAAATACTTAAGATATAATATAGTTCATTATTTAGACTTATATGCAATATTATACCTTAAGTCTTCCTTCCACTCCCGCAAGTGTCCAAAATTGTATAGAAAGTTCCAAAACCAATGTAAGTTTTTATTTGTGTACCACCTTCTGTATTCAATTCCTGCTTTTAAGTTCGATGTTGATGAGCTTCAGATCAACAAGATCTCTAGAAGTGATGAATTCTAGAACTAATAGAATTAAATTGTTTAGACATAATATATATAGTTCATTATTAAGACTTATATGCAATATTGTACCTTAAGTCTTCCTTCCACTCTCGGAAGTGTCCAATATTGCACAGAAAGCACCAAACTTGGGTTAATTTTTTATTTATGTAGCATTTTCAGTATTTAATTTCTACTTGCAAGTTTGGTGTTGATGAGCTTTTTTTCAGATCAACAAGCTCACTGGAAGTGAATAAACCTGGAACTGACAGATATTTTTAAATAAATATTTCTCACAAATATTATCAAATTAAATGCTTAGCAGATACTATAACATAATCCGTTATTAGCACTTGCATCAAACCTCGATTAAGTTTTTATTTATATTCGATGTTTAGTATAGGAGTATGTGCTTCTTGGTCTCTTTCCCACTTTACGGTGTTAAATAGTTTTTAAGTGTTTACTCGCAGATCCAGAAGGTCACGGAAAATGATCAGTCCTGGAACTGTTTCACGTATTACAATAATTATATCGCATAAGTAATAACTAGTCAAATATTTAATTAACAATATTATTCATTATTATTTTCTATATGCAATTCTTATTGTACCTAACAATAATGTTCAAAAAAACCCAGAACAGAAGAAATTTCTTATGAGCTCTTAATCGCGTATTGGTAGTTTTTTTGAGGCTTCATTCTTCCTTTTTAGTTATGTCCTGCTGAACCTCAGAGTACGATATTTTACGTTTAGTCTTTCGGAATTGTTCATTTTGTTTAATAAATCTTTGTTTGTCCAATTGATACTCCTCAACATTAGCCGCAATGCGTTCCTCAAAATACTTGATGAGGTCATTAAGACGTTCAGACGTAGTTGGTTGAGGAGGTGCATTTTCTGAAACGTTTAAAAGTTTAGGCTCATCTTCAGTTTGTTTATCCATTTTTTTGTAGTTTAAACACTGCACAAAAGAAATTTTGAAATCTAAAGATAGTGAAAATTGAACCAACACTTAAACTAAATATTTTTTTATGAAAAATTATTTTGTTATATTCTAAATGAAAAAATGCTATAATTGATTTGATATAGAAAAGTAATACTCAATATTGTAAATAAAGCAATAGAAGTTATCAAAAAATTATTAAAATTCTTTGTATATAATATAATACTTAAATTAACCAACATACGTATAGGTAAAATATTACTTAATATTTCAATATATTTTTATTCCTGCTTAAAATATAAATAATGAACAGTGTAAATCCCTAAACCCTACAATTCTGAAACATTTTTAATTTTTTAATCAACTTGAGCTTTCTTTAATTAATATAATAAATGCATTTAATTTAATAGAAATTATTAATGATCTTAATTTTTTAGCCTTCAATTAATATTCATTAAAGTGACAATAAAATGAAGTCTATTTAAATCTAAATACTCCGCAATAATTTACATATTTTAAATGATTTTTGTGAATTAACACATAACTTATTTGATAAATTTTAGTTAAAAAATTATGATTATTGCTAATCTATTTTAATTATAAAAACATAAAAATTTGGTCCATTTAATCTCTTAATTATTCACACGTTTATTTTTCAATTAGGATTAAACAAAAAGTATGATTACTATAAATCGGTTCTAATCTATAAAACTGTATACATAGTTTTTTGTTTGGACATAAGCTTCTATCATTAAGCTCTTAATTACATTAAAAAATATAATTATAAATAATTTTTAGTATATGGACCTAATTTCCTATTTTGTGATGAAAATACTATTGATTGGTTTTTGTTTTTAGTGCTAAATTTAGTACTTAAGTCCGTAATGCTTGTAACTTACCCCGATTTTTCGAAACGTATTCATTTGAATTTATATAAAATCCACTTTTTGTAATTTAAATATAATTTATAAAAATTTTTATTATATAAATCATGTTTATAATTTAAATGTTATTTGACAGATAAATATTTTTATATTAAATAAAATTTGCTTTGGTAACTTAATCTAGTATATTTTTAAACCACTTAAGCAATCAGCAAGTTGTGGTTAGTGACATCACAACAATAATCAATCTTTGTATCAATTATACAGCTATAATTTGATCAACATTTCCAAAGAAAGATGTAAATATATAAACATTTATAAATATCAATTCTAATTTTTAAGAGATTTTATTATTTAAACATAGGTTTCCAGATTAAATCTAACGCCTTTCTAGCCGGAGCACTTTCTGCCATTCGCACAACATGACTCAACCAGCCAAGCCGCTGAATTTTAATGCGCTTAACTATGTCAACATTGCGATATAGGTTATACAGCTCATCGTTTCATCTAATTCGATACTCGTCACAAACCCCTAAGGGACCAAAGGTCTTCCAAAGAATTTTTCTCTCGTATGCTTGTAACGCCTTCTTATCACTGTTCTTATCATTGTTCAAGCCTCTGCATCATACTGCATGACAGGCGCGATGAGCGACTTGTAGTGGGTGATGTTTCTTTGTAGAGAAAGAGAGCTTTATTAGCCTAAAGTAACATTTGTTGGCAAGAGTGATTCTTCGTTGTATCTTGAGGGTGACGCCATTTTTGTTCCTAAATAAACAAAATCTTTCACAAAGTTGAACTTATAGCTGTTAACAGTGACGTGGATCCCAAGACGCTTAGGAGATGTGTTTGTTGAAAGAAAATACTTTGTTCTGTCCTTACTTACCACAAAACCTTTTTATCCATTTACCAAGTTATTTAAGCAAAATTTTGAATAATTAATCTCCACTTCATTTACACTTCTATACTTTAATCAATATTTATAAGTTAATGAGAATATAATAAATCGATTATTTTCTACATAAAACCATTGTTCTTACTATTGCTGTATTAAAATACTATACATACATACTACATTAGTAGAGTATATATATACTTTATTACAAAAAACAAATCTCTCACATTCCAAATCTGTTTGACAGAACGAAGTCTGTCGGGTCCGCTAGTATTATATATAAATGTACTGTATCAGTATACTATATTATTATGTTGAGGCTAGTTGAGCCAGTGCACCTGAGCACTTTTACTTTTACTTTTACTTTTACTATATATATGCTATATTATTATACTATATATATACTATATTACTGTACTATATATATACTATATTACTATACTATATTTATTTTATTACTATACTATTTTGTATTATATTACTATACCATATATATGCTATATTATTATACTATATATATACTTTCTTACTATACTATAAATATTACTAAATTTGAATATAGTATACTACTATACTTTAAATATACTATGTAACTATACTATTTTATATACTATATTATTATACTATTAAATATACTATATTACTATACTTTTAAATCTACTATATTACTATACTATATGTATACTATATTACTATACTATATATATTACTATATTACTGTATTATTAAATATATTATACTACTATACTATTAAATATATACACTATACAATAAATATACTTTATTACTATACTATAAATATACTATATTAATTAATATACTATAATATATATATATTATATTACTGTACTGTTATATAGTATATTACTATACTATTATATACTATATTATTAAACTTTTGTATACTATATTATTATATTATTACATACTATATTACTATACTATCTATATACTATATTGATATACCTATAATATATAAAGTATATTAATATACTATAAATATTACTATATTTAAATATTGCTTTCAATATTTAATGTTGTAATATTTTAATCAACATTTACAAATATTACGAATGTTTCAAGTCGAATATAATTTATATACAACCATAATTTTCACTTTATACGGGCAAGTTTTTATAGTTAATCTCCTAATCACAGTATAATCCTTAAAGTATAATCCTTAAAACAATTTCTACAAAAAATTATAATTATTTGCATCGAATGAAATCTATAAAATCTGTCAGTTTTTAAATTTTTTATATACTAAATTAAATTTTACTATTATAAATAAATATCGACAATGCAATTAATTAATAAATAAAGTACAATTTTCCATTAAACGACTTCCGATATTAACAAATGTTAAATAAAACTGAAATACCCAAATGAATAATATATTTATATAATTTTATATACTAATTAATTATTTTTACTGCGATAATGATCTAAAAACAAAATCAGTGATTCAGCTTTAATATTCATTAGATATACTGACTCTAATTGCAAAATAATTACTTTTCGTATGTAAAGGCGACGACGGAGTAGTTGAAGAAAGCGTTGATGGCAATTCAATTAATTTCATTTAACATGCAACACAAATAGATTTAAATAGAAAAGACTACAATTCTATTTACATTATCTACGCCTACAGGCGATTTCTAATATTTTTCCAGCAAAATGCATGAAGTAAAGGGAAAAACACTTCTACATTCAATTTCATTAACATTGAATGAACGCCAATGGCTAAATTCAACCAAAAAATCTGTATAAGGTAAATTAAAAGCTTAACGAGGGTAGCCTGTTAAGTTAAAAGCAGCTTATGCGGGTTGTGAAATTCATATGTGTTGGTAGATATAGTACAAGGAATAACAAAATATTTCCAACAAATTACCAAACAAAGCTTAACAACAGCATTGTTTGCAGTTAAGGTTTTTCCCCCTTATGTCTTTGTACAAAAGGAAAAACTGCCGAAGCCATAATTAATGCACAAATCCATTAATGTATAACAAAGTTACAATTTCACCCCATAGGTTTAGTGTTTGGAGGACTTATTTCTATAATATTTATTTTTCCCAGGATTTTTATGTAAATTTTTTAAAATTTTCCTTTAATTTCTTTTCTAATTTTTTTTTCAATTTTTTATAATATTTTTTATTTATGTGTTGCAAATAATTTTTTTTTCCTTTCAATAAAATTTTCTTTAATTTCTTTTCTATTTTTTAAAATTTTCTATATTTTTTATTTATGTTTGTAATATTTTTTTTCTGCTTTCTACGCTCGTTTCGAATAACACACCCAGAGAAACGCTAAAGGGAATATCGTCAATGTAAATCAATATACTTTGTGGCACTTCGCCACAGGAGTACCGCCTTTAATAGAATTTTTTCAGTTTCAATAAAATCAAAGTGTGTAGAGTATGTGGAGTGTCATTAAGTTACAAATAAGCATGACGTTTCTACTTTTCCTCTCACTTTCAGTGACTCACATTCACTTCATGTATTCGATTTTCCATTACTTGCAATACATGCAGTGTACACTGAACAGAACTCCAGTGGAACTAACAGTGGAGTTACCTTTGCTGCAATGTAAATGAGTTAGAGTTTTAATCTGCTCCACCGAGCTCAATGACTTCATCATTTGTTAAATATTTAAGCACCTCTCGACTGTGAGAGGCACAATTTTTTGGTATTTTTTTTTTTTTTGATTATTCCTTCTTAATCAGTGATGCGCATTTTACGTGAGTACCGCTAAAGTTACGTACGTACAAAATGTGTTGCGTGCTTTTGGGGTTGAGTAGTGAGTGTGTTCAGTGCGTTCTGTGTTCTGCTGTGTTGTAAGCAACGTTATTCATACTATGTACTGTTATGTTGCGAAATTGCATTAATTATTAATTTTATAAGTCTGCGAGAGTACGTTTATGATATACCAAATTACGTAAATAATGCATGCATGAACATGAAAGTGTATACGGAATTTTTTTATGCAACGTTACGTCTCCCTCTTGCAAAATTTTCCTGCACGTATTAGCAATTGCGTTGGTGATGCTAAAGTATTTTAATGTAAAATTCTTTTTATAGGACTTTGCGCAAATATAGTATTGAAAAAGTTAAATTATAAGATGAAGTATTAAAGTAAAACTGAGACAAAAGTAGGATATGTATTAGGCAGTCAAGAAATAAAGCTATTAAAGCTTTATTTGTATTACCCTAAAGCGGAACTGACTCCTTAAAATTGAAAACAAAGTAGTTTCTTAGTATCCAATTATGATTTATTTTATTCCTCATAACGACAATCCATACAATTACTGAATATTGTTAACTTAAAATGGAACTGACGTTTTTAAATTAAAAACAAAATTGTTTCTTAGAATGCAAACACGATTTTAGAGATCTTTTTTTTTCTCAGAACGACAGCCCATTAAATCCTTATGATTACTCAGCAAGAATTTTCAATTATGATAGGCTTTACTAAGCTAACTTAAGATAGCATAGTAAACACTGACACCCTTAAAAAAATCGGGTAGCACCGAAATATAGATCCGATTGCTTGTGTAACCATATTTAGCGATCTAACACTTTCTGTAAAACACAATTCTAATACAATTCTGTAAAACTTTACTTTTACTTACATAAACTTTTGACCTCTTGGTATAAAGTCTTTTATCACATCTTCCTCATTAATTACTGGACTGAATTTTCCACATTGTGGTGGAAATCTACGCCGTTCATTCGTAAGATATGGTTTTCGTGGGTTAAAATTTTTGTAAAAGTTTCAACATAAGAGATACTTTTCTCTTCAATTCATGTGCTTTAGGATATCCCTCTCTATCCCTCTCGATGTCACGGTTTTCACCTTAAAGAAACCTAATGCCGTTTGCTTAATGTGGATGGGCTTCTTACATTTATAACATTAAGTATATGGTTATTATAGATAATTTATTTTATTTTATTATTATATATTTTATTTTAATCAAATTTTAAATTGCAACTTAGGTAAAACCATAATACAGCACTTTTATTATAGAGTGTGTGGTCTGTAATTGATACTGCTTTCATATCTATAATTTGAAATGTGTTCATCTGGAATATACTACAGAAGTTAGGTAGGCTTTTTAATGTACCAGTTGACTATTACTTTCTGAAACGTGAAAAGTTAACATAATTGTGGTTGAATATCTGCTTCAAGATAATTTATCCATCCATC